GATATGAGCAATTCACCCTGAGCGGACACCCTCAGCTGTGCCCAGACATGGCCCGGTCCGTCACAGGCACGCTGGCATCTGAGCGCTGCTGTCACTCCTCCACGACCCCCAGGAAGGCCAGGGGGAGAGGCAGGGGGCTGACCTGAACCAGATGGTGCAAGGCAGCCTCCACCCATTGCTGGCAGACTTGCAGCAGCAAGTCCAAAAACTGGAGCAGCATGCCCAGAGCGAGCTCAGGCTGCATGGTGCCAACTGTGGTGGCAGTCCCAATGGGAAGCACCGACACAGGCAGATGGAGAGAAAAACGCTTTGCTGTCCCTCTGCGAAGTAGGCAAGCAAGCAGAAAAGCTGAGAACTGGCTGTTCAGGGGGGGTCCCATTAAGCATGAGCCTCAGATAGCCTCAGACAGCAGCCACACAAAGCAACTACTGACCTGATGCCCTGCCAGAACCGGTTTCAGCCGCCCTTACATGGGACCCAGCGTCCAATCAGTGTGGACGCGCTAGTTGGAATGAGCAAAACGCTAATTCGAATTAGTGCTGTAATGTAGACATACCCTTAGGGACTCAAGGGCAAGGGAATTGATATGGGTATTTACAGACTAACTAAGATAAAATGGTTTAACCTGAGTAAATTCCTGGCTCCCTCGCATCCCAGGCGGGTGGGATCAGAGATGGAAGGAGTAGCAGCTGCCCAGAGTGGGGGGAGCTTGTTTGTATCCAGCTTCTCCGGCTCATCCAGCACGAGACTCCATCTGGACTCTAATTTTTTAACCATTTATTTCCCATTTGGATGCTGGTGCTGGAGGCAGTGGCCACGGGGCTCCATTACGGGTGATTGCCAGCACAGTCTAGTGTCCTTACGCGATGGATGCTGGACTCACACAGGCCTCCTGCCTCACTGCACCGCATCCCAGCCCAGGGCCTGGACAACGGCCGAGTGACCTGCCCCTGGGTCAGTGGGGATGTGCCCACAACACACTGACCTTGTGGGGCACAGAGAACCCCCCAGCCCAGCGCTACGGCAGCTTGCTCCGGCCGCTCACATGGGATCCAGGGTCAAACCCCTGCTCCAAATCGTGCAGAGCTCACACTGACCAGCTGGTCTCCCACCTCCTGTGAACTCCCCTGCTGCCTAACTCAGGCCTGGGAACTCTCGCTGACCCGACCCTGAAGTATCTGCCCGGCCCATGTACCGTGGGAACCAACATGTCCCAGGGGGAAGGTTTGGGTTTGGCCCCCTGCCTGCTCCCCCCAAGAAACGTGCCAGCGAGAGTCTCTGACTGCAGGAGGGACTAAGGGTGGGAGGAGAAGGGGAACCCTAGGACCTGATGAGTTTGTGTGTGGTGGTGGTGGGGTGATAGATAGACCAGCCCTGTGGGAAGGTGTGGTAGGGACACCAGCAGCATGAGGGTGGGGGACGGGGTTGGAACCAAGACCAACTCTTTGGAGTTTGGGGGTGTTACGGATACCAGTGCTGTGGGGGTGTTAGAGAGACCAGCAGTGGGGGGGAAGAGGGAGAGGTGGGAGGGGCATTTGCTGCTGATTGGCACACACGCATCCATCACAGCTGTTGTGTGGGGAGGAGCGGCTGGACTGGCTGTTGCCCGGCGGGGGAGCAGACCCGGCTCATTGAGTTGCTTGGCTGATTTTTTCTGGGAAGCCAGGACCAGTCTGGGAAGGGGAGAGAAACACTGGTGGGGGAGGAGGCAGCGTCAGCCCCACCCCTCACTCGTGGCACAGAGCCCTGCCGGCAGTGACCGATCGAACCCCTCCCCCAATGCTGACACTGGGACAACCCCAGGGAAGGGCAGCCCGAGGGAAATTCAGGAAGCACAGTGTGGCAGGGAAGGGGAGGGGACGGTATTTTCTTCTGGGCCCAGATTGCCTGGGCCTCCTCTCAGGTGCCCTCCCTCTGCCTCTCTGGTTCCTCTCCTCCCCTCCTCCATTCCGATCTCAATGGAAAACTCATCAGTTTTACCAATGAGGCAGAAACTTTCCATCCCAAGGGACTTTACTTTAGACTGAACAAAACACACGTGGGACATAGGAGCAACCACACAGGGTCAGACCAAAGGTGAACTTAGCCCAGTGTCCGGCCTTCTCTTGGGGGCCAGTGCCTCATGGTGCAGAGGGGATGAAAAAATTGGGGCGTCGTCAAGACATCTGCTCCCTGTCATCTAGGCCCCGTTTGTCACAATAAGATGTTTATGGATACCCAGAGCATCTTACAAGTCGCGAACAGCGATTGATGTCCCTGGACTTATCTAGTTCATTCTTTCAACACGGTTTTTGTCTTAACCTTCAAAACATAACTGGGCAAGGAGTTCCACGCATTGACTGTGTGTAGAAATAATTGTATTCATTTATTTAAAACCTGCTGCTAGTTAATGTCATCAGGTGATTCCTGTCCTTGTGTTATGGCAAGGAGTAAGTAATATTTTCTTATTCATTTTCCCCAGACCATGCACATGTAACCACCACCTAGTAGATTCAAACCTAAGCCCTCTAAAACTTAGTGGAGGAGTCTCTAGGTTGAGCTATAAAGGCAGTTGGCTCTCAGGCTAGGCTGTAGACCTCCCTTGTTCTTAGCTCTTGTTGTAAAGCCATGTCTACACTGCAGAGAGAAGTTGGAAAAAGATGAGCAAATTGAGCATCTTTTTCCACTTTTTCTCTGAAAGAGACTTTTCCAAAATTTGGCCTTTCTACTCGGGGTCTAATTTCGGAAAAAATTCTCCTTTCAGAACATCCCATATTCCTCTCATTGACCAGAATACAGGGATGGCGAAAGAACGCCTCCGCTTTTTCGGAAAAGCTCTGCAGTATAGCCATAGCTAAAGTGTGCGAAGTGCCACTCCAGGGGACAGTGAACCACACTAGGTGTGTGAATTACAAATGCTTTTACAGACCTCCATTATATTCCCCCTAATTCCTATCTTGCCAGTGTCTAATCTCCCAATACCGTGCTCCGGTTCCAAGACTCGCTGCTCCAAGGCACAGTCACTAATTGGGTCTACTCATGTTAGCTCGGCATCTCTGTTTCCTTTCCTGTCTAGTTCCACTCCCCTCTCTCTGTTCTGTACCTCGGTACCATCATGCTCCGTTAATTGTCATCCTTCCGGTAGGTTGCGGTGGCACCTGTTACAGAAGAACAAATTTAGACAGGCGTTCTGCTGCCCAGCAGCTGCTCAGGCCCCATTTGACTCAGCTGCATCTCTCCTGGAGCTGGACGGGGAATTTCCAGCCGCGTTTCCATTCCTAGACACCAGGAACAACACACCTGTAAACACACAAATCCCCTGATCCCAGCCTGCCCCTGCCTGCGGCTGAGCTGGAAACTGCTCTGTGCCCAGGGCTCCCTGCTGGCTCCGACCCCGCTGGGACTCCCAGGCAGGCAGGATAAATGTCCCTGCCTCCGAGCCCCGGCCAGTGCGGTTCCTGCCCCTGCAGCTCCCCACCTGGATCCCAGGCAGAGACTCTTCAACCCCGGCTGGGGCAGGAGACCAGGAGCCCGGTGAGTGTTTGGGGGGAGGCTCCCACAAAACTGCCCCCCTGCTGAGAAAGGTGCCCTTGCATGTCATCAGTGGGACCTGAGCTCGCCCAGGACCCAGTCCAGGGGAACCCTCCACGGCCCCTGGTGTCCCTGGGAGCGGGGGCAGGTCGGGGGGAGCAGGATGCCGCCCGCAGGAGAAGGAAAGGCAGGGGAAGCACAGAGCGGGCTGCCAGGGGCACAGAGCCTGAGTCCTGTCTGCAATGAGCCGCACTGATCCTCTCCTCTGTGGCTGGTGAGCACAGTGAGCCCGGGAAGGGCACCAAGACATTCCCCATCCCCTCCCACGGCCTGGCCTTTCCCTGGCCCTGATCCTGCAGGCCCAGCCCTGCGCAGCTTCGCTCAGGGCAGTCAATACTGATCCTTCCTCTCCCAGCCTAGGGGGAGACAAGTCTTGGTTTCCCTTCCCCAGAGCCGACACTAGAGTGACGCACAGGCACCAGTGTTTCTTGACCCTGAGCCCCAGATGACTCTGCTACAAAATGCGAATGAATTTCCGGGTCACAGACACGGGGGCAGGGCTGGAGGTGGCAGAGAGGGCGGGTGCATGGACAGACGGGCAGGGACAGACGGACGCTCTGTAGTTACTCTGTGCTGGGAGGGACAGCCAGGTTCTCATGGAGCAGCTGACGTCTCTGCTCCCACACTCTGTGTCAGGGCTGCAGGGGGCTGGGGCTACCCGGGGGAAAGGCTGCCCAGGGACACCACTGAAGCAGTGAGAGGGGCTGGGGTGAGCGGCAGGGCATCTGCAGCCAGGAGAAAGGCCCCAGGGACTCGGCTTCCAGGTGTACAGGCAGGGTTTGCAATGGACGTCCCAGCCTGGGGCCCGGTGAACGTTCCAGGGCCGGGTAGATACCTTGCACACTGGGTGTTCCTGGTTCTTACCGCTTCAGAGGAGTTCTTGAACAGATTGACAGTTGGACACAGAGAGACAGACATAATAATTAACTAATTAAAGCCGATGATTAGAACTTGTCCACGGGCTCCTCTGCCCGGCGATGCCCAGTTCGCACCGGGGAGAGGCAGAATTTCATTTGCCACGCTGGCACATGGGTTAGGCACACGGTTAGCAGGATGGCTCCCCCGTGCTGGCACAGCAGTGCTGCGGGAAGAGCCGGGGCCCTGGACATGACCAGGACTCAGGGGTCGGGCGAACAGGAGCCTCAACCTGGTATTGGTTAATGGTGTGTCCTAATTTTTACTTTAGGGGTGAGATTTCCCTTGATTTCTTTATTAATATTTGGGTGGTGGCAGCAGAATTTTTATTCCCAAAATCGAGGTTTTTTAGATTTTAGGGGGAAGTTTTATACCAAAGCCTGGTAGATAATGTTTTGGGGTACACTTGGAGGCCCCCACTTCTGTGTTTATCATACCAGCATGGGGAAGGAGCCATAACACCTTGTCTCTGCTTCTAGCCGAGCCCAGCACCCAAGCAGAAACTGCAGCGCCCCATGGCCGTACCCAACAGCACAACGTTCAGTCACCTCACCTTCATCCTGGTCGGCATCCCGGGCCTGGAGCCCTGGCACCCCTGGATCTCCATCCCCTTCGCGCTGATGTACACGGCGGCTGTTGTGGGGAACTGTGGTCTCCTCCTGCTCATCACCACCCAGCGCAGGCTGCACGAGCCCATGTTCATTTTCCTCTCCATGCTGGCGGTGGCCGACTTACTGATATCCACCTGCACCGTGCCCAACACGCTGGCCATCTTCTGGTTTGGACCCAAGGCCATTTCCTTCAGTGCCTGCCTCACCCAGGTGTTCTTTGTGCACTTTGGGTTTGCTACCGAGTCGGGTGTCCTGCTGGCCATGGGGTTCGATCGGTACGTCGCCATCTGTGACCCCCTGAGGTACACGACTGTCCTCACCAATGCAAACATTGGGAAAATAGGCACGGCCATTGTCATCAAAAGCTTTTGTCTGATTGTCCCCTTTGTCTTTCTCCTCAAACGGCTGCCCTTCTGCGCAAGCAATGTCATCCCGCACTCCTACTGTGAGCACATCGGGGTGGCCAGGCTGGCCTGTGCAGACATAACCATAAATATCTGGTTTGGCTTTTCAATGCTTCTCTTAACCTCTGTACTAGATGTTGTGTTCATCGCTATGTCTTACATGCTGATACTCTTGGCTGTCTTCAAGTTGCCCACCAAAGACGACTGGCTGAAGGCTCTCAGTACCTGTGGCTCCCACGTCTGTATCATCCTCTTATTTTACGTCCCAGCATTTTTCACTGTTCTGACCCACCGCTTTGGCCATAATGTCCCTCGACACATTCACATCCTGCTGGCCAATCTCTACCTGCTAATCGCCCCCGTGCTAAACCCCTTTGTTTATGGGATGAAAACCAAGCAGCTGCGGGAACAAATGGTCTGTGTGTTGTCTCAGAAGGGGAGATGGTTCTGAGTCCAGAGCCATGTGATTTGCTGGCTGGCTTCTTCCACACTGCAAGGACAGGGCGAGAAATGGTCATTAACACGTTAGCTCCCTATATCAGAATGGACATTTCAGCTCCTGGGATGTTTCATTGCAAATCCAGGGCCATGGATCTATGTGGCTTTGAGAGCCATTTATTGGTGGATTTGGGATGCATTTTAATGGCTCCCCAAAATAGGGAGGCTTCATTAGTCTGAGAGGAAGTCCACAGGGGACGTTTGGTCTTATGCTGCCCACTTGATGCCAGACAGAGACACACTAAGTTGCTGACAAGTGACTGACTCTCACCTTTTTGGGAATGGAACATCTCTGCATGCCGTGGAGTGTTCCACCTCTTCTTCTGTCCTGGCAATGAGAAAAGCCTCCAGTTAAGCAATAATTTTGTCTGATAGATATCTAGGGATGTGGGACTTGCCAGGAAGATCAGAGTCCTAGTCCACGTGACCCGTATCCTGTTTCTAGTACCCACTTCTGGCGGCTTCACAGGAAATCCCAGAGAGGTGTACACAGCTATCCTGGGCAAGGGAAATTTTCCTCCTAAACCTCAAGAGGGTTGAATTATACCCAGATTCAGGAAGGTTACTGTACATTTGGATACTCTCATCTGTATTCATCGCCAATTTCTTTTGTATCCTGCTCAACGTATAGCCGTGAGTTCCAGTGGCTAAATGTGTTGTGTAGGAAAAAAAGAGAACAAACCCCTCTCCTACCACCATTTTAAATTCCCTGTGTTTTGTTTCACTTCATTTCTTTCACAAACTTAAGCCCAACATTTTGTTTTCTCTCTCAACATGGGGCCCCAAACTCCCCCATGGAATCCTCTGCTGCTAATTGTTAGATCTCTAACGGTTCTAAAAGATTTCCATGAATGATGACTAGTTATGATCCAAGTTGTACATATTATCAGGATTGTAAGAGTTCCAGGACATGAAACTCTTCCACACGGTCGTCCCACTGCCCTATGTGCATGGACATCTGTTCACCTGATCCTTTCTGTAGAGCAGTGAATCGCCTTATGACTGGAAAACCTGGTAGCAGCCCAGCGATCTTGCGGGATGTAACCCTCCATATTCTGTATTTCTGAAATGTTTTATGCTAGATAAGTTTTCCAATGATCCCTCCCATGAGTTACGGTTTACTCAGTGTGACTGTCCTATTTCTATGCATGTCTTGTTTTTGTGTCACAAGTTAGGAATTTTGACCATGTACCAGTAGTTCTGCTGTGCTCCTTCTGGGTGACACCCACCTCTAACACTTCAAGTACCACAATGGAAAAGCCAGACAATGAGATACTACAGAGTCAGGTGACCTGATCACCTGACACTATCATCCCTCTTGAATGGATGAACTTTTCTTGCGAGAGGTGGAGGCATCAAAAAATGATTCCGGCTTTATGGATGAGGGTAGAAAACAATCAAGGACTTTAGTTTGTGTCTCCTCTTCCTCCCGATCCACAGAAATAGTTGAAATCATCTGGAAGGAAAAGGCCTGGAACTGAGGGTAGCAGGGGAGAACTGCTTGACTATGAGGTGAATGGGGCCAGAGGGGTGGTTCAGATAGCTCAAGTCTCATCTCATTAGTTAATTGTTTAGACTGAAGCCTAATTTCCTCAACTCTAATGGTAAAAAGAATACACAGTGAGCCCTAAAGAGTACCCAAGAATGCTAAAGAAGCAGGAAGTAGGATGGCAGGGGGCCAGGAGAGCCAATGAAAACACAACGTGGGCTTCTGAATTGGAAGTTGGAGCCCTTTCTGATCTTCTTGTATGGCAGGAGATCAGCCCCTGGAAGAACCGGAGATGAGCTGGGGAACCAGGCATGGAGAATCTTGTGACATGGAAGCCTAAGGAAAGACTCACTCTATAACCTACAACTCTGTGAGTAGAACAGGGAATGTTAAGTTAGATGAGCTCAGGAAATTTTCTTTATTTTGGGGATTCTTGGCCATCTCTGGGCTGAGCACATGTAACTACCCCCTTTCACTGTAAATTTCCAACTTGAATCCCTGGGAAACAATTCCCTGTGTTTTTCATCCCTTTTCCAGTTACTCTGTAACACCATGCAGCCAAGCAATGTTCTATTATATGTGTTTTCTCTATTTTTCTTTTTCTTTCTTAAACACTAAGCACCCTTTTCAGAACATGGTCTGGTTCCCATGTTCTAGAAGGCCAGAGCTTCTGTGTGCACCTGCCTGAGACTGTACAGCCAAACTGCTCAGAGAAATTAAAGTTCCCTTTTCAGCTGATTGCAATGGCTGAGTTTTCAGACAGAAGCTTAAAATAGCTTGAGTGTCACTTACAGGAAGGAATTGCCAGGTGCCAGGTGCCAGGTGCACCTTCCGTGGATACCAATTCAAGGCTGGAGAATCTGTAACCTTGGGGTACTTGGACACATACCTTTAGTAGCAAAGTATTTTTAAAGTCTCTTGTGGACCCTCACCCTCTGCACACAAAGTGCCACGGGGGAACAGCCCTGACACCCAGGTTTGAAAGACACTAGGCCCGTGAAGGAATCTACCAAAACCAATATCTCTGTTATGGAATCGATGTTTGTAACCTGTTTCATTAATGAATAAAGATTAGTTTTCATGCCCTGTTTTAGTGCCTTAGTAATCCACTTTGCTCTGTTTGCTACCTCTTTAGCAACTAAAAATGTATCTCTTTGTAATTAATAAATGTATTTCTGGTTAATCCTAATACCCAATTTATGTAATTTCTAACTGGGGTAGCAGGAGGTTGTGTGTGGTTTCCTCCACATTGAGGGAGGGGTGAATTTCATATAACTTTGGCTCTGTACTCCATGAGAGTTGGGCACATGGGTGCTGTGGCAGGCCCCTTTAGCTGAGACTTCCCGGAGCTGATCTCCGTATCTGTTTCAATCCGCAGTTGGGTGAGGCCCTACCTGTGTGCTGCTGGAGGTGGTTGCAGAGCCTGGCTCAGGAAACCAGAAGTAAAGAGTGCTCAGCCTGGCAGAAAATGCGGCTTGGTGGCATGTCAGCACCTTACCTGATATCTGGAGGGGGCCCAACCCATCAGAGTCCCAATGGTGTTCATAGGGGCCATCTAGAGGTCTTTGCCCTAAACTCCACAGGCCAGATAAACTCCCTCCAGTTCTGCTGTGTGAGGACGGGTTTGCTAATACCCTTGAGTCCACCATGGACCTAGCTACCTGTGAGCAAAAGGAAAATAATATTTATGAAATTGAGGTAGGAAGGAGATTCTGAGCTACAAGAATTCTCTGTCTTCATGGACTGGGCGATTAGAGTCACAGAGAGGCACTGGGAGCCGCGGAGCACGAGTGAGGTGGTTTCTTCCCCTCCCTACCTCTGGCTACGTGGGCTGAACTCTGACCAGTACTACTGGGGTGTGCAAGGGTTAAATAAGGGGCCTGGGTAGTTGCGACCATGAGAAAGGGGCAGAGCCCTGGCAGATGCTGCTTCTATTCATTGACAGACTTGTTCTGATTCCTCCTTCCCTGCTTGCTTGGGATAGAGGAACGTGCAGCTGCACCCAGGATAGAACGTGTGAATGAATGGTGTGGGTGTTAGCAGTGCTATCTCCCTCACCCCCTTATCTGCAGAGAATTATACAGTCAGGGTGTTTCTAGACTACAGGGTTTTTTGGGAAAAAGTGTCCTTTTTCGAAAAACCCTTCCCCTGTGTCTTGACTGCTGCCGCGTTCTTTCAAAAGTATATCGAAAAATACGGAAGTTTTTTCGCCTGCGGAAAACCTCATTTTGCGAGCAATAATGCCTTTTTTCAAAAGTGCTCTTTCAAAAAAAGGTGCCATGGAATTCAAACTGTGCTGTTTCAAAAGAGAGCATCCAGACTACCACGGTGCTCTCTTTCAAAAAAGCGGCTTGCTTTTTCGAAAGTACTGGTTGCAGTCAAGACACTGTTTTTCGAAAGAGACTTGTAGTCTAGACAAAACCTGAGGGTCCCATCTCCTGTAGCTCTTGTACACCACTGATGTCAGGAGTATTCTGATGTGAAACCTGTCATCCTCAGCTTGAAAGCTGTGAATAGTAAACAGGGGCGGGTGTAATTATCTTCAACACATGGTTCTGGTTATGCATTCTTTGGGTGTTCACACCCCTAAATTAGACACTCAAGGGTGAGGGAATTGATATGGGTATTTACAGACTAACTAAGATAAAGGGGTGAAACCTGAGTAAATTCCTGGCTCACGCACATCTCAGGCGGGTAGGATCTGAGACAGAAGGAGTAGCAGCAATAAAGGTGCCCTGTTACCCCATCCACCTCTGGGTAACCTGTTCTTTTCTAACAAATACGTCGTGAAGGCAGCTGTAAATCTGCAAGTTCCTGCCTTCCCTTGCCCCCCAGCAGGGGAGGAAGAGAGTCCATGCTGCCCCGGGTGGGGGGAGGGATCTGTTTGGGGCTGTTCTCCTTCTGTCAATTCTACAGGGCTACCATCAGCCAGGGGAAAGCCAGGATCTTGTTTGTGTCCAGCTTCTGCAGCTCATCCACCACGAGACTCATGTTGGGACTCACAATTGTATAAACATTTATTTCCCTTTTGGGTGCCTGTGGGCTCCATTATGGCCAATCACCAGCACATTCTAGTGTCCTTCCACAATGGATGCTGGACTCACACAGGCCTGCCTCACTCCGCTGCATCCCAGCCCACAGCCCGGACAACGGCCGAGTGACCTGCCCCGTGTCAGTGGGGATGTGCCCACAACACACTGACCTCTGTCTGGTGCAGAGAACCCCCAGCCCACTCACATGGGATCCAGGGTCAACCCCCTGCTCCACGTAGCACAGAGCTCACACTGACCACCAAGTCTCCCACCCCCTGTGAACTCTGCTGCTGCCAAATTCAGGCCTGGGAGCTCTCGTGGACCCGTCGCACCACCCTGAAGCATCTGCCCGGCCCATGTGATGTGGGAACCAACATGTCCCAGTGGGAAGGTTTGGGTTTGGCCCCCTGCCTGCTCCCCCCAAGAAACGTGCCAGCAAGAGTCTCTGACTGCAGGAGGGCCTGAGGGTGGGGGAAGAAGGGGGACCCTAGGACCTGATGAGTTTGTGTGTGGTGGTGGTGGGGTGATAGATAGACCAGCCCTTTCGGAAAGTACAGACACCAGCAGCATGAGGGTGGGGGAGGGGATGGCAGAGATGCCGACCCTTTGGGCCTTGGGAGTGTTATGGATACCAGTGCTGTGGGGGTGTTAGAGAGACGAGCAGTGGGGCGGGGGGGGTGCAGAGGGAGAGGTGGGAGGGCCATTTGCTGCTGATTGGCACACACACGTCCATCACAGCAGTTGTGAGGCGAGGAGCAGATGGACTGGCCATTGGTGGGTTGGGGAGCAGACCCAGCTCATTTAGTTTCTTGGCTTATTTTTTCTAGGAAGGCAGGACCAGTCTAGGGAGGGGAGAGAAACACCCGGTGGGGGAGGAGGCAGTGCCAGCCCCACCCCCCACTCTTGGCACAAAGCTCTGCCGGCAGTCACTGATCGAGCCTCTCTCCGAATGCTGACATTGGCACAGCACCAGAGAAGGGCGGCTTGAGGGAAATTCAGGAAGCACAGTGCAGGGGGACAGTATACGGGACAGTGATCATGAAATAATAGAGTTCATGATCTTAAGGAAAGGTGGAAGGGAGACCAGCACAATTGAGGTAATAGATTTCAGGAAGGCAGACTTTGATAAGCTCAGAGAACTTGTAGGTAAGGTCCCATGGGAAGCAAGACTGAAGGGAAAAACAACTGAGGAGAGTTGGAAGTATTTCAAAGGGACGTTGTTAAGGGCCCAAAAGCAAACAATTCCGCTGTGTAGGAAAGATAGAAAATATGGCAAAAGACCAGCTTGGCTTAACAAGGAGATCTTGCATGATCTCAAAATAAAAAAGGAGTCATATAAAAAATGGAAACTAGGACAACTAACAAAGGATGAATATAGGCAAGCAACACGGGAATGCAGGGGCAAGATTAGAAAGGCAAAGGCACAAAATGAGATCAAACTAGCTACAGGCATAAAGGGAAACAAGAAGACCTTTTATAAATACATTAAAAGCAAGAGGAAGACCAAGGACAGGGTAGGCCCACTGCTTAGTGAGGAGGGAGAAGCAGTAACAGGGAACTTGGAAATGGCGGAGATGCTCAATGACTTCTTTGTTTCGGTCTTCACCGAGAAGTCTGGAGGTGTGCCTAACGTAGTGAATACAAGCAGAGAGAGGGTAAGTTTAGAAGATAGGATACACAAAGAACAAGTTAAAAATCACTTAGGAAAGTTAGATGTCAGCAAGTCACCAGGTCCTGATGAAATGCATCCCAGGATACTCAAGGAGCTGATAGAGGAGGTATCTGAGCCTTTAGCTATGATCTTTGAAAAATCATGGCAGACAGGGGAGATTCCAGAAGACTGGAAAAGGGCAAATATTGTGCCCATCTATAAAAAGGGGAATAAGAACAACCCAGGAAATTATAGACCGGTCAGTTTAACGTCTGTCCCAGGGAAGATAATGGAGCAGGTAATTAAGGAAATCATATGCAAACACTTGGAAGGTAATAAAGTGATAGGGAATAGCCAGCATGGGTTTGTGAAGAACAAGTCATGCCAAACTAATCTGATAGCTTTCTTTGATAAGATAACGAGCCTTGTGGATAAGGGAGAAGCGGTGGATGTCATATACCTAGACTTTAGTAAGGCATTTGATACGGTCTCGCATGATATTCTTATTGATAAACTAGGCAAATATAACTTAGATAGGGCCACGATAAGGTGGGTGCATAATTGGCTGGATAACCGTAGTCAGAGAGTTGTTGTTAACGGTTCTAAATCCTGCTGGAAAGGGATAACAAGTGGAGTTCCTCAAGGGTCTGTTTTGGGACCCGTACTGTTCAATATCTTCATCAATGATGTAGATATTGGGATAGAGAGTACTCTTATTAAGTTTGCAGATGATACCAAACTGGGTGGGGTTGCAACTTCTTTGGAGGATAGGGACATAATTCAGAATGACCTTAGCAAGTTAGAGAAATGGTCGGAGGTAAACAGGATGAGGTTTAATAAGGAGAAATGCAGAGTGCTCCACTTAGGAAGGAACAATCAGTTCCATACATACAAGATGGGAAGCGACTGTCTAGGAAGGAGCATGGCGGAAAGGGATCTAGGGGTCATAGTGGACCACAAGTTGAATATGAGTCAACAGTGTGATGCTGTTGCAAAAAAAGCAAATATGATTCTAGGTTGTATTAACAGGTGTGTTGTAAGCAAAACTCGTGAAGTCATTCTGCCGCTCTACTCTGCGCTAGTTAGGCCTCAGCTGGAGTACTGTGTCCAGTTCTGGGCGCCACATTTCAAGAAAGATGTGGAGAAATTGGAAAGGGTACAGAGAAGAGCGACAAGAATGATTAAAGGTCTAGAGAGCATGACCTATGAAGCCAGGCTTCATGAACTGGGCTTGTTTAGTTTGGAAAAAAGAAGATTAAGGGGGGACATGATAGTGGTTTTCAAATATCTAAAAGGGTGTCACAAGGAGGAAGGCGAAAATTTGTTCCTCTTGGTTTCTGAGGACAGGACATGGAGTAATGGGCTTAAAGTGCAGCAGGGGAGGTTTAGATTGGACATTAGGAAAACATTCCTAACTGTCAGGGTGGTCAAATATTGGAATAAATTGCCAAGGGAGGTGGTGGAATCTCCCTCTCTGGAGATATTTAAGAACAGGTTAGATAGACATCTGTCAGGGATGGTGTAGACGGAGCTTGGTCCTGCCTTGAGGGCGGGGGGCTGGACTCGATGACCTCTCGAGGTCCCTTCCAGTCCTATGATTCTATGATTCTATGATTTCCTTCTGGGCTCTAATTGCCCGGGCCGCAGCTCTGGTGCCTTCCCTCTGCATCTCTGGCTCGTCCCCTCCCCTCCTCCATTCCAATCTCAATGGAAAACTCATCAGTCTTACCGATCACAAAATGAGGCAGCAACTTTCCATCCCTAGGAACTTCATTTCAGACTAAGGAAAACGGAAGGATGACATAGGATCATCCACACAGGGTCAGACCAAAGGTGAACCTAGCCCAGGGTGTGTCTAGACTACCTAGTTTTGTCGACAAAAGTGGACTTTTGTCGACAAAACTATACCAGCGTCTACACTACCCAT